GGATAACTGGAATGCTCACACCCACCTGCCCGCACACCTGCACCCTCTGGCCAGGATCTCAGACCTCCTGGGCCTCAGAGCCTAGCCCTGGAGTCTGTGCAGAGGACACGAGTCACACGGGGTCTCATCACCCATTGCAGCAGCCACGGGAACAGCCCAGAGAGTGACAGCGCTGAGAGGAACTTGGCTTCAGGCAGTAGAGAGGCTGCCACTCCGCAGAGGCAGCCAGGCCAGCTGTCGACTCCAGAGAAGATGGGGCTGCTGGGAGATGTGACAGACGGAGTCCCGGGGAGCTCGTGAACCCCATCTGTCCACGGCGGGTGGGGGAGAGCCGCCCCCCCAAGTGAGACATGGGTTACAAAACCAACCCTTCTAAAGGCCACACAGGGGCCCTGATGTCCAGCTCCGTTCCACAGAGGTCAGAGGCCCGAGGAGGTGTTTTGGGGTGCCCCAGGGTGCCACCCTCCTCCCTCTTCACAGAGAGCGGCTTCATCTCTGTGCTCTGTGTTACCGACAGGCCTGCCGATGGCGGGGATTTCTCAATCCCCCAGTGGAACAGCATATGGAGCCGGGAGCTGCCCCAGGTCTGAGAAAGCTTTCACCCCCAGGGTCTTCCCTGTGCCGGCCTCCTGCTTTCAGGCCTCCATCCCCATTTCACACTGAGTCAACGGGAACACCACACGTAGCCCCTTTCCCCTGTTCCACAAAATACATAAGTACATAAGCAAACGCTTGCCCAGTTATTCAGATGCCCAGTTGAATTTACTGAAGCCCTTGGGGGAGTCCCACATCGCAGGCCTTACTGTCAGCGACTTAAAAAGCCCTCCTCCCTTTTCTGTCTCCTCCGATCCTGAAATTCACATGCAAATGTAAGGGACCCAGAAAAGCCAAGACTATCTTAAAAAAGAAGAAACAAAGTGAAGGACTTAACACAGCTGATTTCAAAACTTATAGGGTGAAGGAAATGGGGAGATATGAGTCAAAGGACAAACTTCCAGTTATAAGATGAACAAGTTCTGGGCATCTAATGTACAGTATAGTTAACAATACTGTATTGTATAATTGAAAGTTGCTGAAAGATTAGATCTCAAATGTTTCCACCACACACACACTCACAAAAAGGTGATGGAGGCGTTAACTAAGCCCTATTGTGGTAATCATTTCTATACATACATATACACGCATGTATCAAATCATCACGTTGTACACCTTAAACTTACACAAAGTTATATGTTGTGTAGCAATAAAGCTGGAAACAATTATTTTAATTTTTAAGAAACTTATTACAAACCCACAGTAATCAGGACAGTTAGGTACCAGCATAAGGATAGACATATAGATCAATGGAACAGAATTGAGCTCCAAAAATAAACCCATACATCTATGGCCAATTAATTTCACCAAGGAAGCCAAGATGCGTCGATGAAGAAAGAAAAGTCGTTTCCACACATGATGCTGGAATACCTGTATACCATATTAGAACCCTTACACGTTGTTGCCGGGGATCTAAAATGGTACAGCCCCTGTGGAAAAGAGTTTGGTACTTCCTCAAAATGTTAAATATAGAGTTATCACATTTAATATTTCTTCATAAGCAGGAATGTTCTTGGGATAAATACCTGGGGATGTGACTGGGATGAAGCAGAAGTTGGAGGAAGAAGTAAAGCTGTGATGCTGGCCAGTGACAGGCCCTGGGCTGACCCTGTGGGAGCTCTGGAGCCGAAATGACCCATCAGATTGTCCTGCATTGGACCAAAATAACCGATCCTTATATGCCCTCCTTGATCAGTCATCAGATGGGGCATCCCCTCCAGAAGGGCGTGACTGTGGGCGAGGCAGCCCTCCACAGCTAAGACAGCCCCCAAAGGTGGCCTGCCGACCACCTTCCCAGCAGCCGAGGCAAAGCCTTCGTTGATGGGGGTCTGGGTGGCATGTCTCCCTGCCCACCCTGCTGGGGGTGGAGGGATCCATTGCTGTGGAGCAGAAGCACCCAAAGCCCAGTGGAAGGGTGTGGGGTTTGGGAGGTGAGGGGGTCGGTGGCGGGGAAAGGTATAAGCAGTAAGGGAACAAAGACACGGCAATGACAGATGCCTGGAGACCTGCCCTGTGGAGTTGGTGCTGGGACACAGGGATGGGAGGCAAGCTGCTAACCGTCTCTGGGAGGCCTAAGGGGCCTCTGCTGTGAGCGGGTCAGCTGGTGCAGGGTTGGCACCTAAAAAAGGCTGGTGGGAGCTCTGCTGCGGGCTGGAGCCTCTGTGGTCACGGCGTTGTGCACTCAGTGATCCCCAGTGCCGCAGTGAGGCTGCCAGGTGTGCTGGTTGGGAGTGCGTGGGGGGGAGAGGGGAGTGGGTCCTGCCTCTTTGGATGGAGTTGGTTAATCCATTCAGGGATGCTCTGAGCTATTTCCTGAGTAAATAACTGTCAGGCAGTTATGTACCTAAAAGCAGACCAAGTACGGGAGTGAACACAGTTTCAGAGGCGCTGCAGCAGCACGTCTCCCAGGAAAGGCTGGCAAAGCAAGGAGAAGCCCAGAGCACCGCAGGTGGGAAATGAACACTTGGGCTGCAGCCCAGGTGGTGCCAGTGATTAGCTGTGTGACTTGGGGCAAGTTCCCGGACTTACTTGGCTTTAGTCCTCCCCACGGTTAAATGAGAAGGAACCTAGATAGCCTCTCAGGGGCATCCAGCGCTCACCCACAGGACTCATCAGGAGTCCTGCTGAGGAGCCAGCAGGAAACCAATCAGGAAGGTTCTAAGGCTTGTGCTCCCCTCCACCCAAAGGCCCCAAAGGGCAAGCCAGGGCTGCCCAGGGTGCTCACCACGTCTGGGCCCTCGCACGCCACTGCGCCCACCCTCTCGGGCTCTAGCTGCAAATTGGTTCACATGAGGAACACGAGCCGCCCAAATCACTCATAGGATGGCTTGAGCAAAAGCAATTAAATGCTTTCTTAATTGCAGGATGGCAAGAGGTTAATGAGTTACTATAAAAACCAGTCCCTGCCATCTGGTGGCTGTCACCAAAGCCCACATGCAGGGAGGCGATCCCAATTTGTAAGACAGGACGACGGGATCACTCCAAGTCAGGAGAAGGGGTGGAACCTCGGGTGCCAAGGCTGGGGGCCCTAAGCAGCAGAGCCCAATGCGGCCCAGCCGGCCTCCAGACGTCCCCGGGCTGCACAGAGCTTCAAAACCAAGCTGGAGGGAAATCAGACAGGGAGCCAAAATCACTCATCAGCTCCAACACTGGTTTTCTCTGGGATTCGGCTCTAGCGAGGGACGGCCGACAGCCACTTGCTCAGCGCTAGCCAGGAGGAGAGGAGAGAAAAGCGACAGCTGAGAGAGAAGCCAGCCAAGGCGGAGGGAGGGACAGACAGAGGCAGGGATGCAGACCCTGCAAAGACAAAGAGATGCAAACCAGCCTGGACAGACGGAGAGACAAAAGAGAAAGGATGAGCGCTGAGATGCCAGGAGGTGGAAAATGACAGTGACACAGACAGGCCGTGAATGTGAGAAGCGGATGAAAGGGCAGGTAATTTTCTAGAATCAGAGATAGGAAAGAACCTTTGAGGGTTTTGCTTTGTTCTGGGCAGACGTGTTCTCTCCAATATTCTGCAGCTCCCAGGAGTCAAGGAGAATGGCCCTTCTCCCTTGGAGGATGTGAAGAGGAGGCATTCAGGGGGATCAGCCTCCACTCTGCCCCTGAATAAAACACACACACACGTTTATATAGGTGCACGTGCACACACACACACACACACACACACACACACACACCCCATCCCAGGCACAGCCAGTTCTCACTGGTCAGGAGCCACTTCTCCCCGTGTTGAGGAGGCCACGGGTCTCAGGCTGTCTCTCCTCTTAGCTCTGGTCCCAGAGGTTCCACTTGCAGCCCCAAGCCTGGCAGAAGCAGGTCTGGTTTTCTGGTACAAAGAAGAAGGAAGCCAGAGAGTCTACGTATCCCAAAGGCTGCAAAGCCTGTGATTTCCATGAGGCTAAACTCACTGCTGGCCCTCTCTGCCATCTTCTAGAAGTTGGCTGAGAAATAGAGAGATCACCCCTCACCTGTTCTTCTAGGGTCAGACTATTCTTCCAGGATGAGACCTTGAGACACTCACTTCCCAGGATTTTAGAAGTTTCCCCTCCCAGAGCAGGTTCTAACTGGCCACAGTAACAATATAGCAACCTGCTTGCAGTGAGAGGGTGGGACTCTCTCACTGAGAGTGAGTGGGATGTCACCTACTCCACCATCACTGCCCCCCGCCTTTGAGGACCACGGCAGCTTGCTCCTGAAGGCCAAGGCCTCAGCTTGAAACCAAGCCCCATGGCCCAAAGCAAAAGCAAACAAATAGGGATCTGCAGCTGGAAGATCCCAGTATCTCCATTTGTCACAGTATCTTTTGTCCTTGATTCTCCCTTCTCCTCTCTCCCACTCCAGAAGACTCTGTACCCAATGAACTAGAGACACAAGGAAGGTCTCGCTAATCCATCCATCTTACTAGAGGTTAGAGATTGCCCTAACATCTCTAGGGGAATTTAGGGAAGGGATTGTTGGTGTGCCAGGGTAAAATTAGAGTTTGAAATTCCTTGTCTACACGTGGGATCCAACCAGCACAAGGGTTGACCATCATTGTCTCTTTTATTTCCAGCAATAAACCAGAATGCTAAAGCTGTCTCTAGCTGACCCCACCTAGCCAGCTGGTGGGTCCTTTGAGGACTCATGTCACCCCCCCTAAGTCTCCCAGCAGAGGTCTGCCAGGTCTATGAATTGGGTCTCCCTGATTCTGGTCTGGGCAGCAACCTGGGTCCACCAGCTGTACAGCCGCAGTGCCACTGGGTGACACCCAGGAGCCGGCAGGGCGTCAGCAGTAGTTCTGGGGAGTGATTTTTTTTTTTTTTTTTTGCGGTACACGGGCCTCTCACCTCTGTGGCCTCTCCCGTTGCGGAGCACAGGCTCCGGACGCGCAGGCTCAGCGGCCATGGCTCACGGGCCCAGCTGCTCCGCGGCATGTGGGATCTTCCCGGACCGGGGCACAAACCCGTGTCCCCTGCATCGGCAGGCGGACTCTCAACCACTGCGCCACCAGGGAAGCCCTGGGGAGTGATTTTGCTTGTGGTTCTTCCTTTTGTCCCTGTGCCTTTAGAAGGTCCGAGTGTTCTTCTTCCTCGGGATTCTGTGAGCCACTCAATTGCTTTCCTGTTTCCAAAGAAAAAGAGTGCTCAGGCACACACACGAGAGAGACAGACACACAAAGACAGTGACACAGAGACAAAGAGACAGAAAGAAACAAAGGATGACAATACTCTAATCCTTGGAACTGTCATTAAACCATAGGCACTGGTCTCTGTCCCTCTTCTGCTCCCTCTGGACTGAGCTTTCTGTCCTCAGCCACGCTCCTGGAGGCCCCATGAGTTCAGAGCCCAGTTTTGTCCCGTGGCTTCAAACCTTACCCCTCAGGCTGGAACAAATACCCAGTCCCTGCTCATTATCAAGCCACCCTCCTTCTACCTGCTGCCCACACCTCCTCTGACACAGAGAAACGTACACACACGTGTACACACCCCACACCCACCTCACACACAACTACTCTGGCTCGTGTTCCACTCTGCATTTTCCAAAAAGCATTGCTAGAAGGGGACACATTCCATCCTCCAGCTCCTGGCCTGTTCGTGTTCAGCCCCGCTCAGGACTGCAGGGCCTCGGGCAGGGGAACCGGGAGGGAGCAGAGGGGGTCGGCATACAGAGTCTGAGCTGTTACGTGGAGACCAATCAAATGCAGCTCACGTCTACTCCATGATTTTAAACGATGGGAAATCAGCACTCCAAACATTGGACCCAAAGGTTTTTCTTTCACTTGCTACTCTGAAGGGGTAATTTTCATCCAGGTGTGGCATGTGCACAGCCAGGGAGCACCTGCCAAGTCATCAGATGCCTCTGAACTCCTCTTGAGCCAACACCTAACTTTCTTCTTCTGGGCAAGCTGGGGCTCCTTTGTGAAGAAGGGTAACTCAATGTCACTTTGAATGAGTGAATGAATCAGAGGAAAGAGCTCCCATTAGAGGACTGACGGTGAACATTTCAGGGAATTTTAGAAAGCTCAGCCCTGTGAGAAAACCAACCACCAGAGGATACTCTAAAACAAAATACAAGCAAATACAAGGTTGAGGGAACATTCTGTGCACACTCAGAATGTCAGGGAGCTCAGAGGAAAGGACAGATTGCTGTTGGAAGGTGACATCGAGATGTGTGTGTTTCCCCCAGGGCTGACTGCTGCGGTAACTTGCTCTGGGTAGCGGCCACTCCCTCCCTTACGACACCGTCCCAGTCAGCCGATCACAACTGCCTGGTCCATCTTGAAGCCTGTCGGCTATCCAGCACTGGCTGCTATGGACGTGACTCACTCCCTGAGATTCTCTGGGGCAGCAGTTGAGAACTTGGCCCTGGAGGGAAAAGCCTTGCGGTTTGAATCCTGGCTTCCCTGCTTGCCTTCTCTGGGCTCCAGTTTAAAATGGGAACAACAACAACAACTCTAACAGTGTTCTTGCGAGGATTGGATAAATTGATCCATATGAAGGTGTATTAGTCCGGGTTTAGCCGAAGAAATAAAACCAGTAGGAGATATACACTAAGCGGTTTGTTGCAAGGAATTGGCTTATGTGATTGTGGGGCTGGCTGGGTGAGTCTGAAATCCACTTGGAGGCCGTCAGGAAGGGCCGGCTGGAACTGAGACGCCGGCTGAAGCTGCAGGCCCCAGGTGGAATTTCTTCTCCTTCAGGGGAAGCCTCAGCTCTGCTCTTAAGACCTTTGAACTGATTGAATCAGGCCCACCCAGCTTGCCTAGGATCATCCCCTTTACTTAAAGTCGCTGGTTTGGGGCTTTAATGACATCTACCTTCACAGCAACACCTAAGTTAGCATTTGGTTGAATAACTGGAAACTCAGGCCTAGGCAGAGTGACATATAAAACTGCCCATCACAGAAGGGTGAGCACCGTGGCTGGCTCCTGGTAACCCATCACTCAAGAACATTCAGCTATTATTTTTTTTAGGATTCAAAAGCATCTACTATGAAGTTGACATGATGAGTCAAGCTTCCCCCCTCCATCTTACCTGACCCATAGCCTTCTCTTCCTCACTTCCAAATCTTCTTCCAAAGAAGGCTGAAGACTCACCCTAAGGAGTCAAAAGGAAGGTGACCCTCTTCTATTCATCCTCTCGGCAAACACTGCCTGGGCACGCTCTGTGCCAGCTCAGGTCCAGGAGCTGTACGTGCAGATGCAGGTACGAGTTAGTCCCTGCCCGCCTGAAGGCCTGGACGCAGCGACCCACCCTCCGTGGTTCCTCTCGTCTGGTCACGCACGCCCTGCCCGGCCTGTAGACCTCCTCTACAGCTGTCCTCCATCAGCACCTGACTAAAGGGGCAGACAGCAAGTCCAAACTCTGAACTATGCACCCACCCAGAGGGGTACTTTTTCTAAATCCCTCAAAGGAGCCAAGAAGCTAGTGCATTTAACCACAGACATCAACAGAAGGGAGATGCTCCCCAGGGAGTCACATGCTGTTTAACGCAGGACACCCCAGTTCCCCGTCACAGGGCACACACATGATGCAGTGAAGAGCATGTCTCAGCCCCTCAGAGTATTTCCACTCCTATTCTGGTCTGCAGGCCCTTCTAAGCACCCACCTTGGTGGCCTCTGCCCTCTATTGATCATTTCCAGTTCCCCACACCCTACCTCCTCCAATTCCCAGAGAGGCCATGCTCTGTCCAGTGGCCACTGTGATCCCACTCCTTCATCCCAGGCCGAAGCTGCCCTGCTCCATGGCATGGTGACGGTGCCCACTAACCTAGGACAAACGTGTCCCAGGGCCATGGTTCTCCTGCCAGTCTACACTTGTCCAGTTCTCATCCGCCCTTGCAGAACCCATGATGGCCCAGAGAGCTCCCCTCACCCTTTCCAGGAGCTCAGCTTTCTAGTTACATGAGCTTGGCAGAGTTAATTAACCTCTCTGAGCTTGAATTCCTCCTCTAAGAAATAGATATGATCATAAAACCCATTTCAAGGAGTTGTCATGAGAAGAAAGTGAAATAACATATGTGAAGTACCTGACACGTGGAACCCTGTCCATCTCCCGAATGCCCAGCCTCCCTGGCCAGCCCTTGCTGCCCACCCTCCCTCCAAGCTTACACGATATGGATTGGGTACATGAAGCCCACACTTAACCCACCTGATGTCATGGCATCCTAGCTCCGGCTCACCAGTCTCCAGGATACCACAGCATGGGGAGAAAGAGTATGTTTGCCTTCACATCTGCTGGGGAAGGCCTCCTACCCACAAGTGGAACCTGCAATAACATGAAGGGTTTGAACCGTCAGAGTTGTGATCAAAGGGAGACGGGGGAGTTTATGACAAGGAACTCGTTTCATGAAAGAATGAGAAGCAGATGTAGCCTTTCCCCTTCCCCCCAACCTGTCCAGGACCCCAACAATATGGGCGGCAGTGCAGAGGACCCCAGCCTGTACTGAACCCCAGCACAGAGGAAGAACTCTGTCACCTGTCACACACTGTATCAATGTTAGTCCGTATATTATAACTTAATTCCTCCCAGCTCCTGGGAAATGCAGCGCCTGGGGTGGACTGGGCTGGTTCTCTCCACCTGGCCTTGGAGAAACCTGCCTCTCCTCTAGAACAGGGGCATACCGGCCAAGGAACTTCCACAGGTGGGACCCTCAGGACCCCATCCCTCCTGCTGCAAGACCGACCAGGGGATCTAATGGCGGGCAGGTTTTGAAATCTCAGCCTTATGGAGATTTGGGGCTGGGTAATTCTTGGTCTATAGTATGTTTAGCAGCCTTCCTTGCCCACTCCTCCCTGGATTCCAGTAGCACCCACTCCCCAGTGGTAAGAACTAAAAGTGTCTCCAGACATTGCCGGATATCCTCAGGAAGCAAAATCACCCCAGACAGAACCACAGAGCCCAAGTGCCTGCTGTGCCCTGGGCGCCCTTTTGAGTCAAGCAGCTGGAGGTCTTGTGACCCTGTGACTCTGGCCACCAGCAAATGGACAGGATCTCCGTCCTGGACCAGCTCCTGTGACATCACTTGGTTGGGTCAGGGCTCTTCAACTGCATGGTGACTCCCCACCCCTGACCAGGCTTGCTCTGGGTTTGGGGGATTGGAGTAGGATGTCATGGAAACAGGATGCTGGGAAGAGAACAAAGAGAGAAATAAATGCAGCACGGACCACAGATCAGGAGGTCCCAGCTTCCTGGAACCCACTAGATGACCAGTTCACTCTCTCAGCTCTATAATTCCACCTTTTCTACAACGATGACATACTACCTTTTAAATCATTTTTAAAGCCTTTATTTAAAGTAATTTATCTACTGCTAAATAATAACTATCAAAAGCTGTATTTCCCAAACTGGGATTTTTCATTACTGGTGTGAACAGGATATGTTATTTTTCAAGGATGTATTTTTGTTACCAGACTGGGCCATTTTTATTTCATGCAAGTCAAGTGGGCATGGGTAATAAAATAAAAATAAAAACAGAAGGGAGCTAGTTATATTTTTTTTAATCCCACCGTTTTTTCAGAAGAAAATAAATCTGCCCCTTCAATCACTCCCACCAAATTAAACTTTCCATAATTATTGTAATGCAACATACATATAAATAGTACATATTATATATATAGTCACATGTATTTTCACCAAAATGTAGTTATGCTATATTTTTCTGCAACTTGCTTTATCACTTAACACAACTTTCATCAGTGACCCCTCCTTCCTGGTTGGTGTCTCAGGAACCTCACTGCCCGGTTCAAATACCAGCTCTGACTTTTCACAGCTGTGTGATCTTGTGGAGGTTAATAACCTCTCCGTGCCTCTTTTGCAACGTGTGGATGATGACAACATCATCTACTTTATGAAGACCTGAGTGAGTTAAACAAGGTCGTGATGGGAAGCACTCAGAACAGTGCCCAGCAAATACTCAGAAAAATGTTACCTCCTGCTACACGGATCTACCTTCTTGTTAAGAGCTGAAGAGGATTCTACTACACAGATATACCATGCTCTGCCGTGGAAATTTAAATTTGTACAAATGTTTGCTCTTGTAAGCCATGGTACAATGAATGCCCTTGTACTTACATCTTTACTCATTCATGCCACGGTTTGGGAGGATAAATTCCTAGAGGAGAGATAGGGGGGTTATTCAGTAAGCGCATTTTAAGTTTATATATCTATTGAGATATTACCTTCAAAAAGGTTGTGAGGATTTTCATTCCTACCAACAGTGTGTGCGAGCTCGTTTCTTCACTCTCAGCAGTTCTGAAGGCTATCAATCTTTTTAATTGGGTAGGCAAAAATGAAAACAATGCCACAATGTTGTTTGCATCCATATTTCTTTAATGATTAGTGAGATCAAACAATGTTTTTTCTTCCAGTTTTAGATATCAAATAATTAAAAATTTTTTCTTCTTTTAAACAATTTCTCATTCTAACTCCTCTTGCTATTTTAAGATGTTGGGGGTAGGAGTTTATTAATTAATTAATTAATTTTTGCTGTGTTGGGTCTTCGTTTCTGTGCGAGGGCTTTCTCTAGTTATGGCAAGCGGGGGCCACTCTTCATCGCGGTGCGCAGGCCTCTCACTATCGCGGCCTCTCTTGTTGCGGAGCACAGACTCCAGACGCGCAGGTTCAGTAGTTGTGGCTCACGGGCCTAGTTGCTCCGTGGCATGTGGGATCCTCCCAGACCAGGGCTCGAACCCGTGTCCCCTGCATTAACAGGCAGATTCTCAACCACTGCGCCACCAGGGAAGCCCTAACATTTTTTTCTTCTTGAATGGACCATCTGTATAGTGTGTGTGTGTATGTGTGAATCCTGCATTTGTCCATCTATGTTGCTTCTGATTGATCTGGAGGAACACTTGCTATAGTATGGATATTTACAGTTTTCCTGCTAGGATGTATAGCAAATAGTTTCTTCCAGGCTGTCATTTATGTATTTATGTTTTATTTATGGTGCCTTTCACGGTACAGTTTTGTTTTGCTTTTTTAAATTTTTAGGTGGTCCAATATGCCAAATTTTTCTTTGTTGACTTCTGGATTTGGTGCCAGACTTAGAAAGGCCTTCCCCACCCCAAGATATAGAGATATAAGGATCGAGACTGAGATATATGACATATGCCCTCTACCTGGACTTGTAAGACTATATATGTGAGATTATCTGTAAAACTCTATTAGAAAAGGATGACAGCTCAGATTATAGGTAAAACGAAACAATCTTACATATACATAGTCCTATATTGCCTTTTAATTTGTTAGTACTGTATATTTAATGCACAAATCTTTAATCCATCTGGAATTTTTTACTGTAGTATGACATAGGTACCTAATTTTATCCTCTTGCAAATGACTAGTGATTTGTGCCATGGTTCAAAGTGTCTTTGCCCTCCAAATGGCTCACCAGAAGGACTAAGGGTCTCTGAACCTGAGTCAGACCGGCCTGGAAGAAAAGGGGCTGGGAAAGGAGTGGTCTTCCCTCCCCTCTGCCCGTCCTCCCTCTACATATATCACCTCCCTCGGCAACAGCAGGTGTCACTGAGGCTCTTGAACTCAGAGAGCAGGGCCACGCAGGCGGGCTGCCAAGGGGGCCATGAACACTCCATCACTGAACACAGCATTAAGGGAATTATCAGAGCCTGAGCTATGGTTACCCCGGGACCCTAGTAACTTATGTGCCCAGAGAAATCATTTTCCTGGATGTTGCATCTTAGGCAGCAAGGAGGCTCGGGTGACCCTTATATCATCTGTTCCCAGGTTTCTGTGAATTTACACAGGCTGGCTCCCCACAGTAGAAAGAAATCTGATTACTGGTGGAATAACTTACAGGTAAGGGGATCTCCAGTGTGTGCCCACCCTGGCTGTAAATCCTCAGAGCTAGATTCCAAGGAAAGTGAACTGGTGCTCAGACCAGGACGCCTCGCAGAGCAGGTATCCTTCCTAACCTGGGTGTGGGCAGGAGAGCAGGTGGGCTTTAGAAGAACGGCGGGTTATCAGGGCCCAGCAAATGGAAGGAACATTAAAATGCCTGGGTTCCTCCTTCTACTAACCACCAGGATGACTTTAGCCTCTTGTTTAACGTCTTTCTTCAGTTTCACTGTCCAAAAACATGGGTTAACATGGATTAAGCCACATCCAAGGGACCGTGCTATGAGTTTTAAACACAAGCCTCCAGTTTTCACAACAAGGCTGAAAAGTGAGAATGAGTATTCCCATCTTACACACGTTGAAACAAGATCAGAGAGGTTCAGGAAATTTGCCCTTCTGGAGTTACCTCTCCAGAAGGTGGCAGAGCTAAAACTGAACCCCCTGGCCAGGCCCGCAGCTTGAGTGCCTTCCCAGCATCCAGGTTCCCAGCTCAGAAGACACCGGAGGGTGTGCATAGAGAAAGCTTTTCCAGGCTTCCCACAGAGGCCATCTGGGGAGGTTCCTGGGGCTCTTCCCTCCCTTGGCTTTGGTGTGACCTTGGTCCTGGAGACACACGCACACTGAGTCAGCTGTGGCCTGGTCCACACAGCTTCTAGGCACTCACTGCACACCAGAGCCCAGGTCCTTCTAGGGCTGTGTGTAAAGAAAGGAGGAAGCAGGCCTGCCCGAACCTGAGGGCTACACATCACGTGTGTACGTGGGCAAAAGTTAAATCACAAGCCAAATGTTACATCGGATATGATGCTCTATGCTCTCTCTACCTCAACAAAAATATCCTCATCATAACGAGACATAAAAAGTTAATGAAGTTGTGGCTTCTGTATGACTGAAAGTCTTCCATCGAAGACAAATGAACTTAATTATCACTGTGTGCATCTGGCTGTTCCATTAATGGGCTGGTGATATTTGGATAAGTATTAAAATAAGGAGAGCCATAGCTCATGTATTATTTTATATTTATTTCTTTTATTTTTTGCCTTCACTTCAGCAAAATCTCCAAGTATGTTCATTTTCCCAAAACGTTATTCCATTGACAATAATCATCTAATAATTACAAAATAAAATGTATATACAAAGGGAATAACTGTGAATGTACTTTCATTTTTAAAATACCTTAAAATATATGTAAAAATTGGAAAAATTAAAAATTCAATATGAGTTTAGTAAACATTATTTCTCTTCTAAAATATTTTAAGTTGCTACCAAAGTTAAAAGGCAAAATATAAATCATAATTAGTGAATACAAACTATTTTAACCAAAGGTACTCAAAGAAAGCTGAAACTTTTTAATTTCTTGAAAATTTAGATATTAAATATTTTTATAAAAATAGAACAATTTGCAATTCTATGATTCAGGGTCCAGCTAGTTATCAGCGTAAGGACCTAACGTCACGCTTCACACATACTACGTCTGGAACTGCACATATATACAAATCTAAGAGTCATATGAATTGCTTACTGTAGTAAAACATGCTTCAGTGTCCATGCGCAAGTGTCGTGAACACTGTGTTCATTCTTATCTCCAGAACCAGGAATTGGAACATGAAGAGAAACAAGAAAATGAATGTCTGGCATGCCGAGAAACAATAATTTTCTATACAAGAATCTACTGCATTCAAGCTGAGAGGAAGGATGTGACAAGTTAATTAATTGGCCTTTCTCTTACCCAAGCACTTCTCCTGTTCAGATTCTCTGGCTCTCTGAGGTGGTACCTGCCTCTGACATTGTTGGAAGTGTATGGCATTCCACCTTCATGGGATTTGATGCGTTTTCCAGGACATAAGGCAAGAGATGTGCAGAAGGATTTCCCGTGGGCCTAAATGGTGATAGTTATAAGGGCTGGTCTTTTAGGGTTACAGATTGCTGGGCCAGCCCTGAGCTCCAGATCCCAAGTATCAGAGGTGTGTGTGTGTGTGTGTGTGTGTGTGTGTGTGAGAGACAGAGAGAGAGAGAGAGAGAGAGAGAAAGAGAGATTCAGTGCCCTCCAAAGTATAAAGCCCAGAGCCAAGGCCCCTCTATTCGGGTTTCAGGGTGGTGCAGGAAAAAAAAAAAAGGTTTGGAGGAGTCTCAGGATCCCAAAGACCGATCCCAGGAAGACTCACAGGACTCAACACACAGTCATATTCATGGCTATGATTTATACCTGCAAAAAGATACAATGAAAAATCATCAAAGACAAAGGGGCATGGGGCAACATCCAGATGCAAAGCTGGCCCAGCTTCCAAGAGTCTTGCCCCAGTGAAGTCACACAGGACACACCTCACTCCCCAGCAATGAGCTGTCCTGACACATGTGAAATGCTGTTTCCTAGGGAAGCTCATCAGAGACTCAGTGCCCATGATTCTTATTGGAGGAAGGAGGGAGGGAGTGCTGGCCACATAGGCACGTCTGTCTGCCATGTACCAAAATTCTGACTCCCGGGAGGAAGGCAGGCGTTCAGCATGAATCATACTGTTTGGACAGTTTAGGCAGAGTGAGCCACTCTTCCCAGGGAATGGGGAGAACCCTTCCCTAACCCAAGTTCCCCATTGCCAGCCAAGGGACAACTTTGCGAGCAGGCCTTCTAAGGAGAGCAGCCTCGGGCAGCTATAACTCTTTTCTCCACAGGAAGTAATTGAGGTGTGAAAGGTGGAGGAAAGGGAATCCTTTTCATTTGACCCACCCTTAAATTCCACTTAACGTGAAAGCTGGGACTGGCCTGAGCAGAGTGAGAGCTACCTCACAAGGTTAATCCACGTAGCCACATGCAGTCTGAATGTGCTCATTTTCACTTGAAACAACACCCCCTTGCATACACACACCATAATTGATTATCCAGTCGCCTAGAAGATACTGACAGTATGACAGCATTTTTTAAAAAGCTCATATTCAAGCATATCTAAATAACATACTGTTCAGGAAATTCATAGGTGGTTAAACTATTTTTAAATGTAAAGGAATTCAAGACAATTTTTCCCCGAGGAGGGGAGGGGAGGGAGGCAGGGATGGGAATCAGAGAGGAAGGTACACTCATTAGTAATGTTCTTAAGATGGGGGTAGGTTCATTTTATAATTATGGCTCATAATGTCACATGAAGTAAGGGATGAATACATATATTCTTTCACAGGTACCAAAAAATACATAGGAAAACATTTTAATTTTTAAAATTTACCATCTGGGGACTTCCCTGGTGGCGCAGTGGATAAGAATCTGCCTGC